TTAGGAGTAAGACAAAATTTGCCTATAGCTTCTCAGCTGAAAGAAAACATGTATTATATCAACATCTAGCTATTGACGTCTCTCTTAGAAACTGCTTCCCATTCTACCCTTGATTGTGTGGAATAGAATCAAAATGTAAAGTCACAATAATCACAAAGTCTTATAAAGTATTACCTTAGAAAAAAATTCTGAAGCTTTCTAGTAAACATCTGGTCAGTACTGACCTTTTCATATTAGTAAATTATGTGTGCAATTTTAGCTTAAACATTCAAGCTGAGATTTATTGTGTTTTATTTATTTCTAGCGTTTGCTTTATAGCTGCTTCAAATGGAAATGTTTTCTAAAATTTCTCTCAAAGGATAACAGAAATAGGTATGAGGGGATAGAATTAAATTAGAGTATTACTCTATACAGCTATTTTAGAACTTTTCCTTTCTTAGAATAATTAGGACTATTTCATTTAGAAGCTTCTTTTCACAATATTAAGAAATAAATCTCAGAATTTTGTCTCATTACAGGATTATTGATGAAATTTCTTTTCAGCGTCTAGTTATGTAATAACTGGTGGCATGCTGCATGCATAAGTGGTGGATGTGTAAGGGGAAGAAATAGAAAAGCAGAATTAATTCATAAAAGGATCCTGGGGGCTGGGAGAATGGTGCAGTCAGTAAATTGCTTGCTGTAGAAGCAAGAGAACCTGAGCTCAATGTCCAGCACCTATGTAAAAATCTGGGCATGGTGGCATGTACTTGTAGTCCCAGCTCTGGGGAGGCAGAGACAGACAGAACTCTCAAACTGCTGGTCAGTCAGCTCAATCAGTGAGCTACAGATCCCAAACAGACTCTCTCAAAAAATAAGGTGGACAGCTCCTGATGAACAACACCTGATGTTGACCTCTGGTTTCCATGCACACCTGCACTATAATGCGTATGCATAAACATACAAAGCTGATTAACATGTTCAGTGCAAAGTGACATGTTGAACGCATATCCCCTGAGCCTAGATAGAACACATTTTTTTAAAATTAGTTTTAAAGGCTTCTGTGGTGCTATAGTTCCATCTTTCTTGACTGTCCCCCAATGGTACAAGTGGTAAAGGCTTCATCCATAGTCCATGTGACCACTGGGAAGTGACGGAACCTTTAGGACCTACTGGAAAGAAGTTAGGTTGTTAGGGGTAGCCCTTGAACTAAGTATTGGAATCTCAAGTCTTTCTCTTTCTTTTTCATTGCCCAGTCATTAGGAGATAAACACTTTCTCTACAGGGTACTTTCCATTCATCATATTTTGCCTCACCTTGGCACCAAAACAATGAGACTAACCAACCACGGACTAAAAACTCTACAACTATATACCAAAGTAGGCCTTTCTTCTTTTTCAATTTTTATCTTAGCTGTTTTGTCACAGTAATGAAAACTGATGAGCACATGGTTATTGTTAAAATCAACATCAAAAAATAAACTTCTTATCACGTTCCCCCAAACTCAAGAATCTAGGTTTATAGAATCAACTCTGGACAGGAAGACATGTTTAAGAACATAGTGTAGTGCTGTGAACACGCTGAGAGCATGCAACCTGGCTAAACTGACTAAATTGATTGTGGAAAAGGCTCTGAACATTCCTCAATGCTCCCTGTTGACTGAGAATTATTTATAAACACAACTAGTGAGAAACTACAGTTAAGAAAAATGCCAACTTGAGACATCTGTCATTCCAAGGTCTGCGTAATTCTCTCCTAGTGGACTATGAACACTAGTCAAATATGAGTTTGTGGAAAGACATTTCACAAGGATCCTCATGTTCTCTTTCAAGTTCTCATTTAAAAAGTCAGAAGATAGAGACCATGAAATAGGTAAAAAAATAAATAAATAAAATAGAGCAATGTGAGGTGAGGGTAAGAATAGTATAACAATTCTAATGGCATTTCCATAAAGTTCAATGTTAAGACAATACAAGAAATACATTCTTAGTCTATAGAGAATGTAAATCTGTAGAACTCTCTGCCTCAGACTGGGTGTTCCCAGTAAGGTAAAGGTAGCATCATGATGTCCTCTTCTAGCCTCTCTGGTGGCCTTTTCCCAATTCTACAGACCCTGCCTCTTGAGCCCACTGGAATTCTTCCTTAAGCAGCTGCCTATTTTCTGTATCTGGAGGCTGTGGCCCCCAGACCTTGGCATGGGTAGAGATGTAGCTCACTGTGCTGACAGGTGAGCACTCTTCTCATGGGTAAATGAAGTATGGGACACTACATGCTTGGGGCTTCCAAGGGTCTCATTTACAATACACACACCAAGACCATCGAGAGACTGAATCTTTACCCCTAAAGGAAATCACAAGGCATTGTGGAGGAAGGTCTTTCACTGGAATCAACTAGAGAAATACAAGAGAAAGAGCCTTGAGAAATGTTTCATACTTTCAAGCGATAAGGACAATAGCTTGACCACTATTAATCCAATTCCACATTAAAATACAGTTTTCAGGAAAGTGAACTCTGCTCAGTTTCAGTATGGCAGTGGGACCCAGGGTTACCCCCTGTCCCTGTCATCACTTGGGTTCAGGACTGGGCTGTCACATGCTTAGAGGAACAAAAGGTGTCTGTGGGATATAAGCCAAGAGTCAGCCCAAGCATCTTTTGCCTTAGAAGAGAAAATCATTACAGAGATGGTAATAAGGAAAACAGGTCTGGGGAAATGGCTCAGTGAGTAAAAGTGCTTTCTGTACAAGCTGGATCAACTGAGTTCAGTCTCTGGAACCCACATTTTAAAGGTGGAAGGAGAGAACTGACTCCATAAAGTTGTCCTCTGAAACAGATGAACATATGTGCCATGGCACACAGACACCCTGCCACATCTCTCTCTCACACACACATTAATAATAATAATAATAATAATAATAATAATAATAATAAAGAAGTTTTAAAAATGTGAATAATGGATGCATGCCGAAATATTTTAAGATGTCTACTTTTATGTCTAACAATGATAGCACACAGAACAACTAAGATGAAGTCTGGGATACATTTGAATAGTTGCAGACACCTGAACCTGTCACTTGTTTTCACGTTTCAGATCTGGTGACCGCAGCCTTTGAAAATCATTCACTTGATATTTTGTCCATATTTGGAAGGTGTATTTATAGCACATTTTGAGGCTATTTTCTGGAGAGTCAGTGTTTTGTTTCATTTTAAGCTCACACTGTACATTTTTATGATGATGTATATCCTACTTCACATTGTTGTGAGAAACAGATGAACAGCTAAAGTCTCTATCAGGCTGAGTTCAGAGAACAAACATTGCAGGGGGCTTTCAATAGCTTTGAAGTGAATTCCAAGGCTGGTAAACACTCCCTCACTTATTACTCCTGAGCAGATGGAGGTGAGGAACTCTTCTCTCTGTAGCAATCTTGAGCCAAGAGGCTGGTTCCATCAAGCCATGCCCACCTTTGCTGATGGGCTGATGTATCTGGCAAGAAACTGCCTCTTTAAATGACTTTCTACTGGGTAGAAAGGACAGATGTACTAGGTAGAAAGGACAGATGTGCTGGGTAGAAAGGACAGATGTGCTGGGTAGAAAGGGCAGATATGCTGGGTAGAAAGGACAGATGTACTGAGTAGAAAGGGCAGATGTGCGTATAGAAGGGTTCTCGTGAACTGGCCTCTTCAGTAACCTTTAAGCATGCATGGTTCTTCCCCTCTTCTGCTCTATGTCCCTTTGAGGTAAACTCAGGTCAGTGCCCAGCCCTGTTGGAACCCTCTGGATGGAGATGATTAAGACTCAAGCTCTGAGGACTGTTAATTTTACTGCTACTGCCAAGGCCACAATTGGTATATCTGCAGAATCCCACCAAAGTGATACGGCAAACAATGTCTTTTTAAGCCAACCTCCTTTCTGAATCATTCACACTCAAGTTCAAATAGTTTATCTAATTTTTTTTTTTTTACGTTGAAGAAAAACCTCTTTTATTTCAATGGCAGTCTTCACTGATTTTTGTTCAAACTCCCTAGTTAGTAATTTTTAATTTAGGTTTAAGGAAAAAAGAATGTCACTTACAGGCACATTTCAGCTAACTCAATAAGATGTTTTGACAACTAAATAGGAAGCATTACAAAGATAAAGGCTAGGCTATGATTCAGGAAAAGATAAGGTCCATTACTGTAGTGCTTAGCAGAGCCACAGAGCAGGGAACAAAAAGTTGTGATTTAAATCCTGGATGTGCAGCTGGCCATGGTATTGCACTTTTATAATCTCAGCACTCTGGGGGCAGAGGCAGAAGGATCTCTGCAAATTCAAGACTTTCCTCAAATAGTTGGTTCCAGGTCAGACTGAGCCACATAGATCCTGTCTCAAAAGAGCACAAACAAGACCAAAACAACAACAGTGACACACACACACACACACACACACACACACACACACACACTAAAAAACAAACAAAAAAAAACCCCCAAAACAAGCAAACCCAAATCCTGGATCTGGGACTGGCTGGCACTGTGGTTTGAGATAGCGTACTTGGGCTCATTGGACAGAGTCCTCACTTATGAAAGGAAAAGGAGGAGCTATCCCTATCTTTTCTAGGCCTACCATTTCATATGATTAAGGGCAATCGGAGGCTATTCTAATTTATTTGCAAGACTAAAAATAAATAAAAACCAGAAAATATAAATATTCAAAGTCAATGAATTATAAACATATTTCCTAAGAAAGTCTTTATGCTCTGCTGGTAAGTACCTTTCCAGTGGAAACACTGGGCTGTTTAAGAGGAATCCTGAAGCTTGGCATTTATCTAATACACAAGTGGCGTGTACTCTAAAAAGGGCAGTTTTGGAGTCCTTCCTTGTTACTAGCCTGAGATTTGTGTGTTTATTGCTAATTCACCTGCCACTGTATCTCCAGTGTGTGGAGGTGTGCATACATGTAGATCTATGCACATGCATAAATGTGTGCACAGTCACAAGAAGAAAACAGGACAGCAAAGACGTGTGTGAGGCAGAATGAGACTTACAGGAGCTGCTGAGTTTTTGACCGTGACACTGGGGGTGGTAGCGCGGAGGGCTCCACTCACTCCATGGTAGTATTTGAAGCAGATCTTAGTTTCAGCTGAAAGACAAAAATAAAAAGGAACTAAGCCATAGGTTATAGACCAGGAAGAGACAGCCATGACCCGAGAGGAACTGGAACCTGATTCCTCCCAAAGGCCAGCTGGTTCACACCTAGCAATGATAGTCCATGTATGGCCTTGTGGACTGCTCCAGCTTTCTAAAAACAAGTCATGAAAAATTGTTTGGATCTCGACATTTCTGTATCCAAGTTAATGTGTCAATTAGATAGACATTTCAGCATCCAATCTGCCTCACTGGATTTTATTACTTTTAAATGCTTAGTTCTAATATTTTAGGTAGTTTCCTATTTTTTAATTCATTGCAAATAATATCTTGGTGATTTTTTTTTTAGATTTTTTTTTTTTTTTTTTTTTTTTTTTTTTAGAGAAGGTTTTCCCATAGCTCCAGCTGGCCTGGATCTCACTATGTAAACCAGGCCGGCTTTGATCTCACAGAGATCCACCCACCTCTGCCCCCTGAGTGCTGAGATTAAAGGTGTGTGCCACCACACCTGGCAATATCTTGGTAATTTTAAGAAAGACTCAGAAGTATTGAAATATATAGATGGAGTATTTTCTAAACTACTATACACACTGATGACTTTTTGTATTACAATTTGTTTTCCTTCAGATTTCTATAGATGGTGAAGAGAAAAGACATAGCTTTGGGAAATCCCAGGGTTTGTGTTTGAACTTTTCATCTATTAGACAAAGGAGAGAGTCACTTAACCTCCTTTTATCCCAGATTCTTGACATGCAAACGAGAACTCAATTATATGTACCTCATAAGATGCTGGTTGAGTCCAATTAAATGCTCAGTAAATGTTAGTGGCGGTGGTGATAGGTGACCAGTGATTTGAGTTCCTTTCTCTCTGATGTGTGGTTCTTCAGTTGAAAACAGCTTCAAGAACCCCACATTTAGTTCATTTGATGGTGACCTGCTTTTGCAACTCACTGTTTTACAGGATTTTTTCTTAGAATGATAAAAAATTACCAGACTATGTCTTGGTCTATTACAGTACACTAATTTTCTTTGAGGAATCTCTGAGTTAACAACTGCAGAGATTTATCATTTATAAACATTCCCCTATTGTTGAAAATTTGGGATTATCCCTGAAAATAAAAGATTTTGAGCAAACCATTTCTTAAGTTCAAATGTGCAGTGGCATAAAATTTTCTGGTTACCTGCTCTCCACCCACCCTATTTTGACTACTTAATAATAAAATCTCAGTTTAATGTTGGAATATAGTATGTAGTTAGACCATATAATTTGCAGCATCCCTTGCAGATAACGTCTATGTTGTTTGCTACTATTATTTTGAGATTTTTCTGACATGTAGCTAACTTTAAACTTGATACAGAAAGCTTTCTTGATGTAACATTCTTCTGAGAGACCTGAGTGACTCCATCTTGGATAAAACCTCCATAGGACTGACCCAGCCCTGAGCCCTGTTCTAAGAAAAATTACAATACTTGGAATGGATAGAGAACAACTCCCCCGCCAATGGCCAGTTAACCAGGGACAGGAAAGTACTAAAAGTCCAGGTATCTTTTCAGATTTCCTGAAGCCAGCCAGTTTATTGTTTGGCACTGAGCTGCAACCAATCAGATGCTTGCCAGGCTGGAGACCCCTTACTCCCCTACTTGCTGAAATAAACCTATAAAAACCTCTGTCTCCCAAAGCAAGGGGTCTCACATCTGAGATCCACTGAGTCGGTGACAGAGTGGACCCAAGCTTAAGCTTGCAACAATAAAAGAACCCTTGTGTGTTTGCATCGGTTGGCTCCTTGGTGGTCTTTGGGGGTCTTGCGAACTGGGCACAACACTTCCATTGGCTAGAGAACATGAAGTTTTTAGGATTCTTTCTTCCTCTGGCCAAGCTACTTTCCAAACAACATTGTATACTTCAGGAAAAACAGCAGATTCTTTTTGCTTGCTTGCTTGTTTGTTGTTTGTTTGTTTGCGACAGGGTCTCCCTGTAGCCCCAGCTGGCCTGGAACTCACTATGTAGACCAGGCTGGGCTTAGTCTCACAGCAATCCACCTGCCTTGGCCTTCTGAGTGCTGGGATTAAAGGTGTGAGCCACTACACCCAGCTATCTCAGATTCTGACCACCTTGTAGAACCTCACAGAATGCTGTTAGTTGAACACTCTCAATTAGAATTCAAGTGAAAATAGAAACATACATCATTTTATCTATTTGATTACTAATGAGATTCTATTTCTTTCCATCAAATTTTAATTAGCTCTTAGAATTTTAAAAAATCCATTACATTGACTACATTGACGTTAAGTCTTCTCGTGACCTGAGTAATGAATGCCTGGCTGTCCAATGACCAGTTTCTTTTCGTATGCCTTTCTGAGTCCTTCTTTTCCTGCAGATATTTTATATATCTGTTGGCTGCCTTTTTAAAACTCTGTTTGAACAATCAAATAACCCTTTCTGTACATATTCCCCCAAATATTTCCAAATTGTTCCATGTTAGTGCTACACACCTAGAGCCAATGCTCTGTCCATGTGGCAGGTTTCTTGTTAGCCAGTAATCATGAAAAGCCCCAGATAATACAATGAAAGGTAATCAACTAGCTACTCAGTGCTGTTTAGTATATAAGCTATGCTGTCTGTAGGTCCCAGGAAGATCAGCATATGTGGGACAAAGCATTAGCTCAGCTGGACAGAAGGAAATAACAGGTATGCTTAGGCAGCACTACCTGCTTTTCAAAGAAGAAAATTATTTCAGCGCCTTTGAGCAAAAAGGTTGGGGGATATAGCATACAAACCTGTATTAAATCTGATTGCCAAGAGTGTAGATTAGTGCTTATTTTTAACCAAGAACTCATGGAAACATTCAAAGTGTGATATTCCCCTTTTGAGAAAAAACTGGTCTCAAAGTTTGCATCTTTTTTTCTCTTAAACATGTATTTTAAAAATATTTTCCAAAATTTAGCAATTTGGTTATTAAAGGATCTTCCTTTTATTTAACCTTAATATGTATAGTAGTTTAGGAGTAGGATGTGAAAGAGAGCTACCAATAGATGCATAAAAATAGCAATTGAAACTGGGCATGGTGGCGCACGCCTTTAATCCCAGCACTTGGGAGGCAGAGGCAGGCAGATCTCTGTGAGTTCAAGGCCAGCCTGGTCTACATAGTGAGTTTCAGGACAGCTGGTGCTACAGGGAGACCTTGTCTCAAAAAGACCAAAAAAAGATTGCAATAGAATATGTAAATGATTTGTTTTATGGCTTTAAAAAATCACTCCATTTCACAAAATTACATGTTAATTTGTACTTATTCTGGTTAAATTAACTGATCTATTTAACTAAATTGTCACTGAGCTTTGTTAGGTAAGGGACTGGTACTATTTATTTACATATTTCTAAGTGCAATGGAACATATGGGTCCCCAATCATACTTCTTAAAAATGTCTAATGACCTAGCGTTATGCATGTATAATAACATGTGGCCAATAATGAGCTGCATATATAATGATGGTCCCACAAGACTAGATTATGCCACTGTGTTTTACTTCCTCTGCCCTCTGAGACCATTCTTTCCCTTCAATGTGGGACCCCCTCCCTTCCACTGTTACCTTGAAGTCAGGGCCAGCTTGGGTGTAGCTGGTGTTGTGGCTTCATCATCAAGTGGATGACATGATCTCCCCTTCCTCTGAAACCTCTAAGAAAATACCCCCCACTCTGCCACATGGACTGTGTGAATGAGAATTCCTAGAAAGCATTTGTATTCACAAAGGCTGACTAGCTATTTAGAAGTTTGGGAGTGTGGAGAGGTTGGAATGTTGCAGGTCCAGAGCCAATTTATCTTCAAGCATCTTTACCCACCTTAATAGCTATTATTGCCCCCTCTGTGCATAAGCTAACATCTTTTGTGATCAGTAGGTAAATCCTTTCGAATGGTTGACCAGAACTCTAGTTTCCACCAAGCAAAGGGCAAGAATCTATCAGGCAGCATCTAAGGCTTATAGCAGTTTTCCCTGCTTTGTTGTAACCCACTCACATGATGTACCCACCAATGTATTTGAAAAGTATATTATTTTACAACTTTCTTTGCTCTATTACTATAGAAATTCATGAAATTGCTCCCTCATTGGGACATGACACTTGGTGACTTCTCTCCAGTCTTCCACTCTAGCAACTGAGCTATCCAAGGGCACAGGAACACGAGAGTTTGGAAAGCCTTGATCTGAGTTCCTTGGCCATGGTCAGTCATATCTGGCTTCAGAATAAACCTTGTCTTTTATTCCTTTGAGATGAGAGCTGTTTCTTTTGAACTCTCATCAGAGCTGGTCACTGTGTCTTTCCATGGTGTTCTCATTGCTTCTGAGAAATCTCTTTCTCAAAAACAATGATTTGCCTCGGGGTCCCCCTTGAGCTCCAAATTTAAGACCATTCATGTGGGTCTTCACAATTGTGTTACATGTACTCTATTGACTGAGTATCTCTCCAGCCCTAAAAGCCATAAGAGTCTGTACCAGAATAATAACAAACTCTTACTTTGCTATCATTTGTTAATAAAATGATATTTTTTAGTAAAATTGTCATTAAAGTAGTATATAAACCTAACAGGAAAAAAATCTTTCTGTATTATACAATATCCTATTATCAAAATTTGATAAAACTATCATATTATTTGTCTTAAAGTTTTATAACAGAATGCTGAATTAGGGGGTATATTAATTTAAATTACATTAAATTAAATTGGAAAATAACTGGAAAATAAGTCATACTTTTTTTTGTATTTGTTATTGATTTTTTTTTACTTTTTTTTTATTAGAAGAAGCATTTCATTACAACAGCATTAACCTATTCAATAACATTTTTCTGAGCTAGAGTACATCTCTTTCAAAATTGGCTGTGCATTTTTAGGTTTACAGATGAATTATTATGCTTATACAATCTTTTACTCATTATAAACTCTATAAGACATAAAATTAAATGAGGTTTTAACGTTTAAAAAAGATCTCCACTTCGTTGTTAAA